GAATTATAGCGCGCGATGTTATGAAACGAGTTTTGTGCTTATAGAGATCGTCGTACAACATCGTGCGCTCTGATTCGTTAGTCTTTTTTATTCATTCGCAAAATTTTACATGATTGTTCGCAAAATATCAGGGATCTTCTACCTTCACGTGCTCTTGTATGTTTCCTGCGAACGTAGGAAGTAACAATATTAGACTGATATATATATATATATATATATATATATATATATATATATATATATGTCTAATACACACACACACACATATATATATATATGTATGTATGTATATATGTATGTATGTACATACATACATATAGATACATACATTATATATACAAACTTATATATACATATATATGTTTGTATATATACATATGTGTGTATATGTATATATGTATATATACACACGTCACACACATTTATCAAATTATAGGGTTCGACGAATTGAGTCTGTTGCATCGTAGTAGATACATTTAGCTATTTTATAAAGTTTTCTATCAGTTTGTACAGTGTATCTATACATGCAATCTATTGTTTATTATCACTAATTATAAAGTGTAATATTACATGTAAGATATTATATTTTATGTTATTATGTAAGATAAATTAATGACGTTTTCTCTACATGTACACGAGGTACTAATTTCTAAATGGAAACGATATTTCATGTTACTCGCTGATAGGAGGTACTTTTCCTGATATATCAGCACAAGGTACGGGATGCACGAGATAATAATAAATATAGTGATTCAATTGGAGGTACAATTCACGATGCTTTTGTTTAGGAAATACAAAGCTTCCCGTATATATCTCTGATATATATACACATATATATATATATATACGAGATACCCGGCATTACAAATGTACCGCCAACACAATAACGGGAGATCGCGATATAAGGATTTATTATATAAGCCGTCAGAACATCATCAGAGTCGTTAAGATCACCGCGTGCCGCTCGATCATTAGATTAAGCAACGCCTTAGCGCGGTCAGGACATGGATGGTGACCGGTCGGTTGGTGGCTTAGAATGGGCCAATATCTAGTACATTTTTTTGTACCGTCATAAGTTCTAACAATTGAAAACCTCCTAATTTGATGGTATTATCTTCTTTTCTGTTTTTGACCGTACTTATATCCCTTGTAATATTAGGTAGAGTTTTAATTTCAACCTGTACCACCAATTTTTGGCGATACATGCTTAAAAGTGTATACACATACACATATATGAAAATATATATATATAATACATATATATATATATATATATATATTTTATATATAAAAAATATATATTATATATATATATATATATATATATATATATATATATGTATGTATGTATTTTATACAACTGATTATTATATATATATATATATATATATATATATATATATAAATTTTGCGCAAGTTGACGTTAATCTCGATGCGTCAGAAAAACTATTTGTAAGATTCTGATCTATAAGTTGATCACTGTGTCAAATTTTTAATATATAATAAAAGTATCTTGTACATTTTTTTCTTTACATACATTTGGAATGATATTATCACAATAACTAGTATAAAATTGTTGATCGAGATTGCGTGAATTACAAAACCCCGGTAAAATCATTATCACATATATATATGTATATCAATGTTACGAATGTTAAATTATTTCATCACATTACTTGAAAGTTTCCTCTTTATCATGTTATTCCCTGTGCAAGTATTGTACATATTTGATAAGCGCAGTTAAGATTAAAAAGAATTTCTCTTTTAGCGAGCAAAGATTCTTTCACATCTGGATTTCCCCTTGTAATAAATTTTCCCATCGCATCGATTAGCCAGAAATGAAGTGTTAGCATTGGCTGCGATGATCAAATTATACAATTGGTGTCGTCAGGATTCCTGTAGTGGAAAATCGTTCTTGCAGGACAGCGAGCCGGGCAAGTTTGAGAACCGCTTCGTTGCATTATCAATGGCAACAGGCCGAGAACTGTCGTCTATCTGGGCGCCAGTGGTGCTCCGTGATGACACAGACTTCCGAGCGGCATTCACGAATCATTTTCAGTATGCACGAGATATCGCAAATGGTGAATTCCTCGGAGCAACATGAAACGTACTAAAAACTTGTATTCTCTTCAGACTTTCTTAACCAACTTTCATTCGTTTCTTATCATGTATATTATCATTGACGCGAATTTTCACGATTGCCCGTTCTTAGGAAAAATTGCTTAGCTAAAATTGCTTAGAAAAAAAATAGCTAAAATTGCTCGTGAAGCGAATCTTATTCTGTCGTGAGAGCTCGCTCCGATATTTCGACGGTTTACGAAGGCGAAATTCGGGAGGAAAATAGACGAAGCCTATTGTCGTCGTTAGATCTATACGTGTCATTTATTATTCTCTCTTTACAGCAGCTATTCCGTGATCATCGGTCGTAAAAAATCGACGACCGTTCGTTCTTCTCGCTTATTACTTTTGTACGTGGATCTCCGCATGTCGCGCGTTACTCGGGTCGATGAAATGAAATGAGGTATGAGAAATGGAGAGGAAGGTGAAGTAATTCATGGATATCAGTCTCTTTAAACAAGCCGAGTAAAACAACAATGAACACGGAGGAGAGACACGGCGCATTTACCAGGACGTGACCACGTGCCAACGATCAAAGCGACACGTGAACTCTGACGCGGTGTGTGCTGTCGGCGATAGTTCTCGAAGAAGAAAAGAAAGAGAAAAAAAAACAGAGAACATAGGATCGTACTTTGTTGAAGTAATCCTAAATAAAAACTATTTATACGTGCATATACGGTGCGTCCCAAGACCATCGTCGCTGCTTGCATCGACGGATTTTTCTCACCGATTTAGAGTCTCGATTTCTTCTAGCAAAGTATCGAGAGCAAAAATAAGAGAGAGAGAGAGAAAGAGAGAGAGAGAGAGAGAAAGGGAAGACAATAAAAATTGACTGCTTTTTACCGTTAGTGTTTCAACGCAATGTACAAGTTAATCGACTGTCAGTCGACTTCGTCACGGTATAGTTCAGAGTCGAACGATTGTGAGAGAAAGAGAGAATCAGACTACATGGAGACTAAAATCTTTAATGTCGAGGAAATGCTGATTCTAAATTGTTCAAGAAATCCGTGGATTACACGAGTGGCGGTAGTTATGAGACATTTTGTATATATGTATATATCTATATATAATATATATCTATATATGTATACTATAAACATAAGACCGCTCAGGAGCGATTCCCTCCTCATTTCCTTCAATTCCCCCAAGTCCCCTTTATCGTTAACGCGCGTATATAAATTACCCGACTAATTACAGAGCCGCGTCTCGTGTTACGCAACGGAGCGCGACGCAGAACGCGTGCTTTTATCACAGAGAGAACGAAATAGTCGTTTCGGGGCTTTAGAGTCACAGAGGGTACACTTTCGACGCTGATGCGAAAAATCCAACGGACACACGTCGCCCGATCGCGTAACACCGCGCGGCCCGTACGCTTCGAGGACAGTTTCTAGAACTGTCGGGCGCTGGCAGTTTGCTCGGAGTAAACCAATTTTCGGATGAGCAGCGTCGACTGCTGTGTATGTACAATGCAAAAAGAGTGGCCCGAGTTGGCCTCTCTCGAGTGTCATGATATGATTCACCAATTAGCGGAGCCGCGAATTTGCGCATCGGTTTCTTCCATTCTCCGTCGACGTCGACGACGGCACGCGAGCGAGGAAGGAAACGCGAAGGGAATCGGCGAGAACGATGATATTCGTAGTATTTTCGTACAAGCACAGGCAAGTGTATATACATAGTCCACTACTGAATTAACGTCGTAAAAAGTGGAAATGTACGCAGAAACGTAAAATCAGAGAGAGATCCGCGGGAGATAAGTGGTTCTATCACACATCAATTTTGGCGAAACGGTTTAACGTCTCCTTCTCCTTCTCCTCCTTCTCCTTCTACCCCTCGTCCTCCTCTTGCTCCTACGGTAAAGGACGCGCATGCGCAGGCGCGATCTTTATCGATTTCGCAGAGAAACGAACTTCTTCGCAGACGCATCAACACGAAGAAGGATAGATCGCAAGAAATGGCGATGCTCCTCTCGTGAATCTTTCCTAATCGCGACAATTGCTCTAATCGAATTTCGGAGATCGAGGCGGACGACTTTTCTTTCCTTTTCTCTTCCTTTTTTCTTTTTCTTATCACGGCTTCCGCGTTTTAAGCTTTTCGCTTATAGAACTATAGTGTCCGTTTACACTAATCGTTTAATACGCGCACCAAACAGTAGGCTTTTCATCAAATGACCTTAATTTAGGCAATGTGTGTAAACGATGGAGTATCAAGCTGATAGGATAGGCACTATAAAAAGACATATCATACCAATTTAACATGTTGACTGCTCATAGAAATAGATTGCGTATACTTATGAGATGGTTGAAGCCAAGAGTAAAGAACAGAGTTATATTGAATAAGATGTTTTCTCTATCGCGCAATATTGCAGGAGAAGGTGATGGAAACAAAAGAGACAGAGAGAGAGAGAGAGAGAGAGAGAGAGAGAGAGAGAGAGAGAGAGAGAGAGAAACACTGAAGGAAATAGAGGACACGTTGACCATATAATTGCTTAGCAACTAACCTTCCTAC